AGCGTTGGGCTGAGCATTTTGAAAAGCAATTTAATCGGCCGGAATTGTTAGATTACTCGCCGGCCACTGATCGCCCCGCTCCCTGGGCTGTCCCTTTGGATCCGTCCTGTCGCTCAGAAGTCAGACGTGAGATTGGACTATTGAAGTTGAACAAAGCCTCTGGACTAGATGATCTTCATCCAACCCTCTTCAAATCCGGGGGCCCTACTCTTGTTGATGATTTACACGAATTACTAGTGAAAATATGGGAGCAGGAGACTGTCCCAACCGAGTGGAGCCGCTCCGTTATTGTTCCCATCTTCAAAGGAGGCTCGCGTTCGGAGTGCGGCAACCGTAGAGGAATCAGTCTGATCTCCATCGCCTAAAAATTGTTTGCCTGTCATCCTTCACAGACTGACTGACACTTGTGAAAGCCAGATTTGTGAAGAGCAAGCCGGGTTACGTCGACGTCGTGGCTGCGTTGACCACATCCTCACTTTGCGTCAGCTGTCGGAGCATCGTCCCACATATTGGCGACCCACCGTTGTCGTGTTCCTCGACATCAAGGGTGCCTTAGAGCCGGTTGATCGATGTTCCCCTTGATACTGTCTACTCAGGAAAGGTGTCCCTGAGAAATATGTGAATATTATCCGAGCATTATATGCGCGTAGCTCAGACAGACTGAGAGTTTACGGCAAGCTGTAGTCGACCTTTAATATCTCCAGCAGTGTGAGACAAGGATGCCCGCTGTCGCCTTTCCTCTTCGACTACGCTATTGATGAAGTCATGGAAATCGCGTTCACAGGACACGATTTAGGTGTGGATAAGCTTCTGGGAGAATGGCTTCTTGACTTAGAGTATGCTGACGATATTGCTCTAATCTGTGACAGCTCACAAACGTGCCAAGCGGCTCTGGACAGCTTAGCACTGGTTGTTCGTCACTTCGGGCTTTGCATCGCACCCTCGAAGCGCAAAGCGTTCCTCCAAGATTAGTCTGGACCGCCTCCTGCGCTGAGCTTCGGTGGGGATCAGCTAGAAGTCGTTCAGAAATTCAACTGCCTGGGAAGTATCAGCGCCCTTGGGATTGAAGATGAGATCACGAACCGGATAGCAAAAGCTCGAAGTGCTTTTGCTAACCTTCGCTACCTATGGCGGCGGCGCGACATCACTCTCGCCCTAAAGGGTAGAGTGTACAATGCAACGGTACGTTCGACCTTACTGTACGGTTGCGAAACCTGGCCCCTAAGATCGGCGGACATGAAGAGGCTAGTTACGTTCGACCACCGGTGCCTTCGCAGTTTGACTCACATCTGGTGGGAACACGGGGTGAGCAGCGAGCGTGTTCGACGCCTTGTTTACGGCACGGGAAAAGGAAATGAACTGCTCAGCACCGTTATATCACGCACAAGGCTCTGATGGCTCGGCCACGTGTTACGCATGCCAGTCCACCGCCCCGCGCCAAATACGTTCTTTGCGCACCAGGAGTGTTGTTGGAAGAAGAGGAGGGGGTGGAGAAGCGATGACTTGGTCGAGTGAAATGAAAGACCTCACTTCGGAGCTGGCTTCGTGGTAGCTTCACGGCTTTCTGGTTGGGGTCCGAAAGACGATGAATACGTTTGGCTAGATATACTTGCTGACATGGCTAGGAGCCGATCTCAGTAGCGTTCCTGCTGTGTTTCTTTGTCCTTCCCATCCCTTTTAGTCTTCCCTTCCAACCACGATCTCATTTCGTAGCGTAATATAATTTTACATCATAATTCTTATTGTTGCCCAGTAGCTTTCCGGAACGATGCCCATCCGTTGCTAGTAGCTCAGCTGGCATGCAACTGTTGTATTTATTTTCTTTTATGTGTTGCGGCACAGTAGCTGAGGTGCTTTACACCTCTAGCTAACGTGTATAGTGATATGAATGATGGTGCTACTCAATGAACCAGAATTCTGATCACATCGCAGTGAAGTAATAATAGACCGGTCATAGCATGACTGTTGTACGTAAACGGTTGGTGCTTAGAGAGACCCTCTGATGTCGCATTGAAGTGTCTGTTAAACTCGAGAAGTTACGTTCGTTTAGTTTTGCGTGTACCTTCCGGCGACCAATCTCGTTAGTTATTTTGCCAGTGCTGTAACCCGTCGGATAACGCGGTATAACAGTATGGAGAGTGAGAAACTAATTTAGGCTTACACGTGCGGACTTCGGGTCAAGTCAACTCCGCGATTGAGACCTTATCAGACATGGCGTAGTTTGTGAAGCTCCTGCATTTGACCTTTCATATCTGGCTGATAACATCCTAAACCGACTCATTTGATTTACCCTTTCCACCAACTGCCATCCTATTTTGCGTTCTACTGCAGTTTACCCGTTACCAATAATCATAGGTACGGCAATGAGTTATGACAATTGTATCCCGCGGGTTTCTTTGCTCGGGCCATAGTTGTTGAGCAGAACTGAACTACGCGATGCTTAGAGGTTAAACGAACTGCATTTTACCCTGTTCATCGGAGGTCGGCGAACCATTTTCATCCAAAACACAAGCATTTGAGACAACAGTTTGAGTCATGAGCTTGGCTCGACTGCTGTAGGCGATTGGATAAAACATAATTGAGATGTCACTAGTTTACTTTATCAGCGCAGTAGGCTACCAAGGTGTAAGCTGTCTGAAACCTATCCGCGATCCACCGTTGTTGCGGTTGCAATGTTACCGTTGAGAACTACAAACTCTTTACAGTTGCCTCAAACTGGTTCTCGTGGGGCTGCTCAACCGCACCCTCGACTTAGATCTGTTCACAACAGCATTGTGTGCCAGACGATTAACTCGAAAACTCCAGAGTCCTTGAAGTAAAACCTCATTTTTCTGTCTGCTCTGCGGGCCAGGCTACTGAGTTAAAAGCTACAGGGGAAAACTCTACAGAAATTTCCTGCTCGGAATGGACACCCCGTTTTTCGTTCACGACATAGACAACTCTATGTTACAAGCACCCATTCAGTTGACATAACTAACGCAACAATGACAATAGGGAGAACGGTAACAAGCACTTAAAGGAGTGCAGAAAGACAGGCACAAGCTCGTCCAGAAAGTGGTCAGAGGAAACATAATGAGGTTGTCGTGTGAAAAGAGTAACAACGAAATGCAAGTAAAAGCGGCACTTGTTTTCTCTCTGTGCCATATCCGAGTGAATTTCAAATCATTGATGCGCCATATCTCGAGGCCCCCACCCCTGTACACAGATGCATCAGATCAAATGTTTACAGGTTAGGTTTTTCACTTCGTTTTATGACGCCAATGTTTGACTAATCTGAAGCTCCAGAAGTAACCCAAAAACGAGAGCTGAGGCACGCGCCCAAAAGGCAATCATCATCAACAGCAGTATATCAGTCATGTGAGTAGATCCTTCGCTGCCATAAAACCATGATAATCTACAGAACGAAGAATGATAAGAGGGAGAGAAGGGGGAATTACCGGAAAATCTTAATGCCCTCAGTAAACATTCAGGGTCAACGCGTCTACACCTTGTCAACAACATATCGTCACAAACAGCTGGCTATCGTGCAAAGATAAGGCGGCATCGGCGAGGCAGCGTCCTTGCGGCTTTCACTACCCCGCGACAGAATCAATCATTACTCAGCAGATAACTTAGCACCAAACACGTTTTAAACTGGCAGTCCGACCAGGAGACGGCACCAGACGCGCCACTGGTGTCAACTGGGAGCCTTGTCCTGTAAAGTCCGAGCCAAGCATAAAGCGAAACGGACCGACCGCACTGAGTCTGGTCGTCAGTGACTTCATTTCCCGCTGCCAAGTCAACTTTTGTTCATCTCGAGATTTGCGCCACCCTACACCGGGCAGATTAAACAAGGCCCTCCTAGATAAGCGGTGACTAAGTTGGCCTAAACCAACACAACTTATTAAGTGCTATCTGTTGTTCTAGGGAGCTAGCGTGATTATCACTACCTAGCACTCGCCTACGCCCATCATTGTTGCGCACACCCTGGTGCCATCCGACACCAGTAAGGCTTCGCAGACAGCGACGATCAAAGACTTGAAGGTGCCTCAGATCTTCAGACCGAAGGGGCCAAGTCTCACTCTCATAGAGCATGACGGCTCTCACTGTGGCCTTGTATACACGGCCTTTCAGAAGGAAAAACTCCCTTCTGTAACCAAAGATACCGCAGGTATCGGCCAATTAGCAACGCCTGCTCTGAGCTTGGACACCATCGAGGTCAAGGTGTTGTGCTTCAAAAACACATCCAAACTAGAAATGGTCTGATGCATTTTTACGCACTAGGGCTGAATTTTAATGATGTGACGCGCTTGATGCCTCCAACAATGGTACATTTACATTGTCAGAGTCGTTTCCAAGGGCCGTGTGGAGTGTGGTATTCCGAAACGGATCCCAGTGAAGAAACTGGCCAAAGGACTGAAGTGGGCTAGAATATCTTTTTCTCATTCCGAGACACCGGGAACGGGTAGATCAGTCTAAATACACTGCCGCAGGTGAGAAGTTACTTGCGTCTGTTCCATCGTACTGTCCGCGATTCTACTTGGTGATTATAGTTTTTCCAACCAGAATGCAGTAAACCAAATGAACTGAGGCTTCGAGCCTTACAAAGGACACTAGAAAGGCGCATAATGATACGTAAATATGTGCGTATTCCGGACCGCACGTCTGACATGCGAGGTCTAGAGTGAATGTTCGCCAGGATCACGTGGCGGTTGAAAACACGCGTATGTATAATGAAGTAATAACTTAGGGAATTTGCACTAATGGGAGCGAAGGCTGTTCCGTTCGGCTTAAAAGACGTGAAAACTGTCGTCCGTCTCGGTGTAATTGGATGCCCATATGTGAAAAGCTGGCCGTGTGTCCGTTACATATCTAAGGTACTCATGACACCGCGATGGAAGGTAGAAATGGCTGATTAGCTCACCGACAAATAAGTTATATGATGGTAAAAACCGATGAATTTTCCATGCCTTGATCAGTTGTTTGGAATCGCTAAATCACCTCACTATTTCCATTTCAAGCTGAATCAGCGTCCGGTGAATCGACTCCTGTAACGAACGGTGAGGATGCAGCAACGCGATTCCACCGATTGAAGAGTTCAATGGAACAGCTTCGCTTGCCGGATAGACTGAATCTACTCAGAAAACTGAACACTTCACGTACGTTAGAAATCGGGAGCATTCGCATGTACCTGGAAGAATTCAAAGCGCACTACGAGCACCTTCGCGTGGTGAACACTTTGTTGCCGTTACGCGATGTGAACTGTTTCTACACAGGGAAAGAAATTGAGGGTGATGTGCTTGTTTACAACCCTGTGAGCAGCTAGAGTGATTATCTTTAATCCACCAACATCGCTCCGTGACATACAACCGTCGCAAGTCCCCTGATCCGCTCAGCACATTCGTGCAACATTAGGTTGTGTATGACAGCCGATGAACTAACCGGACATGTTCCATCCGGAAATGTACCCTGACCGTTAATATTTTATCAGTTGTCCATTAGGTCAATAATTTTTATGGTCGTCAATAAACACACGGTGTGAAACGCCCTTACGGTGACGATCGCGTTTCGTAATCCCTTCGGTAGAACAACACTCTGGAGGGTTGTTCTGCGCTTCCAGTTAGTTCCCACATGTGCTATATCTCTCTTTCATTTTACTTTCAAATTCTAACCAGGTCATCTGCTTTTGATTATGGAAATTTGTCATTTCTCCCCATAGAAAATGTTGACAAATCAAATTTGATATTTCAGGTAGCATTGCGCAGCTTTTGAATCTGTGGAAGGTTAGACAAGTGTACTGGGGATTGTCGCACTATAAACCGTCACTACGTATGGCCACAGTCTAGGGAGTATAATTTCCAAGCGTGACCCGCACTGTTTGGGGACTTCAAAATAAGAAATTCAGCTCCGTTAAGTTACAATTTAGCTTGCCCATTACCCATAACTCGCCCAAAGTGGCGCATATTCGCTGATGAGGGTGAATGGGTGCCAGCTTCGGAATAAATTGTAAGCTGTAGGAGGGTTAGATGTGAGATTTGCTCTCACCTAATGTTATATCACAATCAACTCTTATTTTTCAGTTGATGCACTCTCGTTGTTAGACCAGCAAAGCGTATACTTCCGTCTGTCATCGCCGTCTAACGCATCCATTTACTGGTCTAAAAAAGAAAGCGTCTCAGTATGCACTACCATACATGGCCGAGAACCGTATAGGTCACACGAAATATAACCATAATTCAACCGAAACACCACAGTGTGCCATGCAGTCGCTTTTAGTATCAGAACAGCGGTGAATATAAGCTGAAATGTTCACGGAAAGGAAGCTTATTTAAGTGGAATCGCAATGAAATTACTGCGTTGACGGGTGGTAAGTACGAATATACCTCCCACCGGAATAACAAGTGATATATGTTTGTCCTAAGGAGCGTCTAACGATCGTTGGTGAGCCGTGAATTTCAACTGAGCTGATCAGATTAGAAAGGATACATGGGATACGTTGGAGGAGTAAAAATGAAGTCAGAAAACCCGCAAATTACCCATGAACTGGGTCATACTATGGAATTTCAACTAGATAGGTAGTCGAAATAGAAGCATTGTTTTCCCATCCAACAATAAGATAAATTAATAACAAAGCTGTGGGGTTGAAAATCGACCAAAAGACAAAGTAAAGAGAGTGGAGATAAGGTGGCAAAAAGAGCAAAAGCAGTACATGAGTCACTCGAAGTGGAACTTGGCATAAGAGCGTAAAACGACATTCAAAAGAGAAAAGGAACCAAAATGTGGTGATTCCGCACCGGATGTTGTTCCAGGGCCTCAGAAAATGAAGGTGATATCGGCGGTAGAGCACGGGTAAAGAATGAAAGCATTCTCCAGGGAGTTCGGAAGGAGGAGGAGCACGGGAAGTGAAATGGAAGCAAACATGCCGGTGCGAGAGTGAGAGAATCACTACTGTATGGGTAAAATCTCCTGAGAAAAACTCCTGATAACAGCATAAGGGAAATCAGAAACTGGGGAGAAGCAGTCGCGATCATTGATGATGAGAGATCGAGCATTCACAAAAAAGAAAAACAGACAGAAAAGGCATGCATGCATTTTCGTGGCGCTTTGGGCACTGATTTCACAACAAAGAAAAACGGGGATTCAAGTTTGAGGGAAAGAATGCTAGTGAATGGAGACACGCGCACTCTTGAGTATGGCTCTGAAGCATGTGAGGCTAGCACTCACAAAACAGCTGGAGGGACTCCACCGCAATCGAGCGACGAAGCAATGACACAACTTATTGATTGCGTCGACGGAAATGTTGAAAAATCGCGGCACTGTTGTTTTATAAAAACCAAAGGTACTTATCTTCAAAAAAGTCCCTCAGAGCAATAAAAACCGGAGTAAAAACAACAAATTGAAACTGGGAGGTGCGTAAAACGAGGTATAAGTGGGGAACAGATGCACAAAGGAGGCAAAACAAAAACACAAAAGATGGTGGTACATGGGTCGTCATACGGCGAAACTATTTGGGTATTAGTGTCCTAGCTGACTATTTGCGTGCTCCATTTATCAACTGGCAGCCGTATGAGCTTAAGTGCAATGTATCTGCGAACTTACGCTGCGAAATGATGGAAGGGTAAGGTTTTGGTTAGGAGAAAGTCGAAGCTTAGCAGCGAGAAAAAGAAAATAGGAAAATACCAGAGTAGTGTGTAACTGCAAAGATAAGGCCATATATGAAGGGAAAATGGACAGAGGGCGATGACAGCCTTTCAAAAGGATGAGCAGTCCGATCGGACTCTGTTTGAATACGCTAGGTCAGGATCACTGGGGAACGAAAAGGATGGCGCAAAAGATGTATATCACGCGGTAGTCAGGGGAGGCAAGTAATCCTTGAACAGCATCATGATGGGGAATTCATCCACATGCACAAGCTGATCACCGTCGTTACGGAAAGAAGGAGAAAGTAAAGCCAGTGATAAAATTGTAAACGACGCGGGATGGCACATTATCAAGGCCTATTACGCTAGGAACTGATAATCTGCAGGGGCAGAATGACCGTGTTAAATGACAAACAAAACGAACACGGTGCGTACCGGTCGAGAGCAAAGGAGCAAGATAGCGAGTGACCCGGTGGTAAAATACGTGGAAGTGGCAGAGGGAAAGTTAACAGTGATAAATAGTGGGGTAAGAGCAACGTTAATACGCTCATGAGCAAAGTGAAAGTAGGTTCACCTGAGAAGAGGAGACGCGCAACCATACACATTGACGCGAGAAAAACGACTAGATGATTAAGCGAGGCCGGGGAATAAGGTCAAGTAAGAACAGGTGGGGCAAGTTAGTCTGCAGTTTGGACGAATGGGAACTCCCCATGATACACCTGAGATCGAACGAGACACTAAATAGTGGAGCCAATAGATCGTAGCATCCATCTTCATCAGTTGACCAGCACAAGTGGGCTAACCAGGACACCGGGATTGAGCACATGACACAGCAGTCAGTAGAGGATTGCGAATAGTATAGAGGAGTGGGATACGAAAAATGGTATATAATCTCAACTGTTGCCTTCACTCGAACGTAGCCCTGTCATGATTTGTTCACGTTCCTCGGCTTCGGTCAATTGAAACATTTCTGTGTACAACTCCGGAAAATCCAGTTGAGGTTTGTCCTGTCGCAGTTGGGCAATCACTTCGTGGTGTTCCATGTTCCACTGCTCCAACAGCGGGGACAGGCGACGCAGGAGAGTCGAACGCTCCTCTAACGGTTGCCCACCTGAAAGAAGAGTGAAAGAACTGAGTGAATCAGAAGTTGGTAGTACATTCCATGCTTAGCGTAAGGGTTGGAATGTAAGCAACAGCCCAGCCAAAAATCGATGACAAAAAACAGATCGAGATCACACTTTACGAGAGCAGCGATTTGCGCCGATGCTCCGCTTCCATACAACCATGGATAATGAGTGGAGTAACTGATAACAAAGAAAAAGGGGGAAGTTGTCTCATATAGGTTTTGAATACGCTAGGCAAACGACCAGAAATGTAGCGAATACATCTTGCCGACACCATATGGTCACAACCAGATGGATATCGTGGTAGGCTGAGGCGGCGTCGGCGAGATAGCTTTCTACTAGTGTTTACTATCCGGTGTCATGATCAGCCTAACACATGGGTAACTCACCGCCGTACGTACTTTAAACAGGTCCTTTGACTAAGAGACGGCTGCAACGCACCATTGTTGCTGGCCGAGAGCCACACCTTGTGGTGTCTGAAGTAAAGTGCAGTGTGGGTCGCGAGAACCCCGATCTGGAGGATGTGACAGATACACGGTCTTTGGTTTAATCGTCACTGACTCTATTTCCGACCACCAGGTCAACGCTACGCTATCCAATAACGACAGACAGTACAAAGAGCTGATCGGTAAGCGGCGGGTAGGCATACGTAACACGTAGTCGAAACAACGCAGATTATTCAGTCTAATATGATTTGAGGGGATGTTTTGATGAGCGCTGCGTGCTGCCACAGTCAGGGATATGTTGATGCAACGCAACACCAGTAAAGGCTCGTAGGAAATGGTGGTCAACGACCTAAAGGTGCTCGATATTTTCGGTTCGTAGGTGCCAAGTATCCGTGTTGGGGATCAGAGTGATCTTTATCCTAGACCTGTTGACAAGGAAAGTCACACGCAAACGTCGACAACGTCGCAGAATCACAGGACGCTATATAGTTGCCGCGGTATGTCGGCAGCCATACGCGAGTTACTGTTAGTGCAGCCTTCAAGACAGGTAAAATGATCAACTGTCCCCAATCTCCGTCGCGCGAAAAGCATACCAAGTGATAGGGACATCCTGGAGAATCTGTAGAGATGACTGTGACACTGCCTCGTATGATAGCAGGACGATGTCTTCCGTACAATCCGCAGTGCCTGCGTCGCAGAATTCCGCGAAAGAACACTCCGTGGTAAGATTCACGAAAAAATTGGAATACAAATTTGTAAATGACACGAGCGTGGTTATCGTCGAAAGCAGTTGGTAACCGGCCGCACAATGTGAAGCGAACTTATTTGTTCTAGTACAGGGTAAGTGAGATGTCCACACACTATACACGCACGCAGAATAATATGGAACCGATTGGAACGCTGGCAAAATCGAAAGGTATAGCTATGATGCGTAAGGCTATTGTCTAGCACCCGTTGTGGAGTTAGAATGTGGTGCATTTAGTCCCATGCAGGTCAAAAACTATCTCGAATCCCTCACGCGGAATCCACATTTCACAGTAAGGCGGTAGAGAGAAATGGCCAACGATCGTGGTTTCTTAAATATTGCCAGTGAGTGCAAATTGGCTGGCAATCATCTTTTAAACTTGTCCCAGCAGCTAGGTGTCACAATACCACAGAGAATCGCAACACGATCCATAAATAGAACGAAGAAAAAGGAAGCGCGGAATCTCGTGCGACTCTATCGCACGCTTCAAAGATTAGAGCCAACTGAAGGTTGGCAAATAAACGGGACACAACAACTTGGGTGTAAAATGGTAACAGACTAGCTGAATTGTTCCTGAGAATCACCCGCATGAGTCAGAGAGCATTTGTTTAGAATGTCGGTGCTGTCCTTGGTTATCTGGAAAGTGGTTGCCGTAGGGATGAGGCATCCGCTTGGTAAACCCAGAGGTCACCGATTCGAATCCGGGTAGGTGCGAATACAACCGTGGTATGCCCAGCCCACGCGCGACCGGTGGCGATCACGTAACGCGGAAGCATCGATGTGCTGATGGTACCTTGTTTATCTCTGACTACTGACTTTCGAGAGCAAGCAGTGCAGATTAATTAGGGGAGTTTGGTGGCTGAATGTGGCTTCTCTATCAGCTGACAGACCACGCTGTAGCTCGCGTTTGATAATCAGTCTTGTCGCACTATGATCGGTGCCAGCGTGTTTCCTATTCTGAATTCCAACAGGTTCACCAAAATCGCATACTCCACATCCGTCCAGCGTGAGAGTGAGCAACAGTGCCGAGAACAGAAGCTCTCGCGGCATGCATGGTGATAACAATTCGATTCCACTGAGGCTCCGTGAACTCAGAATGAGGTGGTGAAAATGTAGTTCAAGAGAATAAATAAATTAATTGTATATCACTCGACGATGCGAAAATGCGTTCCCTAAGAACAGCAGATAGAAAGGAGAGATATTACGATCTTCACTTGCTATTGCACATTGCACTTAAAGGAATATGAGTGCAAATTCCATACGTATATGTTACAAAGAAGTAATATGAATTCTATGGTGGTTTCCAACCCCTCAATGCACCTGTGAAATGACAGGGGTTCATGACAGGAAAAGTAACGAGACGAAAGGAACTGTGGCCCGAAGTGTGCTACGCATATGTGTATTCGGAATCGTAATTTTTGTGAGATGTCATCGATACGACTTTCGAAAGTGCTATCCATGGATCATGATGTTCCAAACATAGCAACTGCGTTTGCGACAGTAAAATGTCAATTAGTCGCAAGCCTGAACTTATGCAATGTGCAGCATGTTCTGATATATCTCCAGGTTCTAGAGTAGACAGTTAGAGAAAACACATTGATTTTCATGAGGAAGTTGAGAATGGTGGGCCTTGCCGTATATCAGATATTTAGTGTTCAGAGACATGTGAACAGCGCTATCACTCCTATGCGCACGATGGTTTATGACTTTGAAAATAAGGCGCAGATTCATCTTCGTTCTTCGAAGCCAGATTGTCAAATCAAGCTTCGGCACAATGTTCTCTGTCATTTTAAAGGAAGAACCTCAGCTTATTCGTGAAGCGGCGTTGTACCATATCGATGTCATGATTGACTAACTTTCGCAGGCTCGATGAGACCAATGTACGGCATCCCATATTTGGTAATACGTTTTGTACAGCCAGATTCAAATTTAGTAAGATAAAAGTGATGACATATGTGTCCGATGGTCTTCATGGCCATTGAAAGTTAAAAGTCACAATGTTCAGTAGCTCGATATACCTAATCCGTCAAACCACATGGAAAAGTGGTGGTTTGATTCGAATGGGGCTGCGTTATATGCGATGCGATCGAATGCGCATCCGCCTGTTGAGAACTTGGGTGACTGCGGAGACGAAAACGGTGACCGCATTACACCTATACTGTACCATGACCGATCACTATCGTGGGATCACAATCCCGCTCGAAACAAAAAGGCCTCGGTGGACATCGGCAATTTGTAAAAGCAATAACAAACACGTATTGTGAGTTACTGTGTACTCCAATAAAGTTTAGACACTTAGTTGCCCTGTCCTTTGAAAACGCAGTGTACAAATTTCTAAATAATAGAATACGGAGATCATACACCACAATTAGCAACGTAGTCGATGGTTTGGGGGAGTGTGAATTACTCTGAAGCCTGACAAAGGAATTAGACGTTCATGGACCTCTGTACCTGGTGGTGGATTCCGGTCGAAGATGGTTTGCCGTGAATTATGTTTATCGATACAATGTGCATTTAGGGAAAAATGTAATGCAATTGGTGTGCAAACCAAAGAAGCTGAGTGAGAGATGACTGCTTCCACATTAACAACGTACGGTAAAAGTGTATCGGCAAGTTAATGGACTGTGGTGGGAATTATTCCGAATAAAATAGGTTCGGCTATTAAGGAGTGCTAACACGAGAAAACTGCATAAGGGGATCGCACCCCATTCAGCAATGTCAGCACATCGCTGACCCATTCTGTTGACATATGTGCAAGAAAAAGTGCAAATCCGTCATTCCAAAAAAGAGATAAAGGTCTGCGGAAAAGGCGATCACTTACTACCAACTATGTGATCTGTCAGCACACGTCCAGCTAAATGATAGAGATGTTCAGTTGCCTGAGGATCGAGTAGCCCCTGATAATCTGATGGAAAAAAGAGCAAAAAAGACAAATATAGGAGAGGACGGACCATGGTGGAGACGAGATAGTGTGAATACCCCAGGGGAGTTTCAGGATCATTTTGCGGCAAATTTGTACTGGTGACCGTTTCCTTCAAGAGAGACAATAAACCTCGGGTTAGCAATACTGCTTAAGTACACACAGCTACTGGACCCACTAAACCTCAGTGCCAGCCAGGTGTGTGATAACAGAAATAAACTAGATTGTGTATAGGACGAGACAAGTTGTGTGTAGGTACTTGGAACTAGAGCTAACACGAAGCTGTTAATTGTAACCCTATTTAACTAGGTAAGATTGATAAAGAGAACTTTTCATTTAATAACGCAATCGTCCAAGTCAGTTGGTATGTTTAGACAGACCCACAAAAGTGCGGGGTCGAGTTACTTTATAGGAGAAGGACATTAAGTAACATCAGCCGAGTCGCCATTTGAAGAATGCCTCGGTGTATGGAGGCTCAAATGTCAGATTGAGGGGATGGGGATCCGAAGGAAATGCATAGATACAATGTTCAATCAACCTTGTGTGATAGCGAAGGCAGTTAGGAGGGATAGAAACTGCGGAACGAAGCATTGTAACGATGGCGCCATCTACATACTTATTTCACTCCACATCGTGAGATCAGGCATACTGAGGTTTGTTTCGTACAACGGGAGGCATATAACCATGAGCAACTTCGTCTTAGTTCCTCCAGTTGTATGGCGTCTTTGAGACAGTTTCTCGGTGGACGAATAGAGGTAAAACTAATTCACAGAACCTGACACTAGAATTAGTGCAGGAGTAAGGAATGTAGGGCCAGGTCTATTACAGAGCAACCATCACAGTTCGTTTCCACCGCATTCCTGTAAGCACATCGTAGTACGTAATTTGCTGACTGCGAGGAAGGACGATTTCCTTCAGCTTCTATCAAGAGAGACATCTCTTTCAGGCTAATTAGTAAAAAACTGCCGGATGCACTTAACTGAACATATTAGGTGAAACCGCTCCGTTCACTACCCGACGCCTTGAAGACAGTTTCGGTTCAGTCCGGATCCCTTGTCCTATGTCAAGCCACCTGCAGTTGTGGTGCAAGGTACCACAGATACCATCGAACATTTGTCCAAGCGAACAACGGGACACTGCCTTAACTAAATGTGGCACGGTAATGTCAATAAATTATATAGTTCCATCTCGGAGAACATGACTACCACCGGACATCGAATTCGTCCCAAGGACTCATCTACGATGTTCTACGTCGTGACGTAACAAAACGCGAAAAGAGAAAAACGCATCTACAAGGTGTTTTATTAATCTGGCCCGGAGCTAGGAGTGGCTGCAAACAGGTGCTTGACGTACAACGGTACGCTGAACTGCTAACTATTCAGTGGCGCAAATTGCTTTGCCGAAAGGGGTGAGATGGGACACAGACGCCACATGTGTGCCAACGATTGCAGAGCACACCGAGCCGTTCGGCTGTGAGAACTGGAAGTGAGCCAGACACCATAGCCGCACAGAACGTGTCATGCTTCGATCGATCGGTAGTCGGCCTTCACGCAGGTGAAAAACCAGCAAAACGGCTCCCTGCGAAGTGGTTAGTGGGTCACTGTGCTAACAACTGAGAAAAACAGCTTAGCCGTATGTGAGGACCGGCCGATGGGCGCTGTGTTGCTATCGACACAAAAGCTGTTATCTCCTCATGACTGGCTTCCAACAAAGCCGTACGCTTTTATTAGACTGCTTTCGCTGCTAAAGCGAATCATACTACCGGGAGTACATTATAAGGTTACAGTGTTGTTTGCTTTAACGTTTCGATCGCGGGTGTGTTACAGCTTAAAATTCACCCTTCATGGGGGCATAAAAATGAATTCTTGACTTGACGTGACAACGCTCTTAGATTTCAGTCTGCCCCTCCGCAATGGTGGCGCCATTAGACAGCATACCAATTTAGTCATGAATACAACTATTGCCCTCACAGCCAGACAACTGCTAGTTGTAGAAATTGACCAGGCTTTCGATAGTATTTCCCGTGTACAATGGAGAGCACACATTTATTCATTTCTTTACTTATATTTACATGGAATGCGTGAAATGTCTGCAAATATCAACGAATTAGATGTTAGAAGTGCTCCCTGTCGTTTTGGCTACAGGGGAGCATTCGCCGTATGGTGTTGGTGAGCACCTTCTGCAAGGTCTCCAATGATATCTGTCCACATTCTTCACAATGTTCTCTCAGTTCATCCATGTTGTTGGGTTTCGTTCTATAAAATCAGCGTTTCAAGTATCCCCATAGGGAAAAGTCCATGGGATTCAAATCCGGTGATTGCGCAGGCCATTCCATCGGTCCTCCGCGACCGATCCAAGGTCCATCGAATGTCTCGTTCAGGTAGGTAGGAATCGATTGCGCCGAATGTGCAGGTGCGCCATCGTGCTGCCACCAAACGTTAATCACTAATCCTTTCTACTGTAGCTGCAGAATGACGCTGCTTTGCAACATTTCCATGCACGAGGATGCTAATAAATGTCAGATATTGGTACTGTTAAACGACAACGTACTGGACACACTGCTAGAAGAGAAAAAATGCCCAATGATTTTTTGACCAGTCAACCCAGCCCAGGTTATAAACTTCGCGCTATGTTGCACACGTGAAGGGCAACCACGCAAGCTGATACTTCATCAGTGACGATGCGAGGCCGTCCGGTTTGTTTGATGCTGCAAACGCTACCAATTTCTTCAACACTCGACGCACATACCGCTCGTTAATGGGCCGCCTAACGCGGTGCATACACTAGCCGGTGAATGCTCCCCTGTAGCCAAAACGACAGGGAGCACTTCTAACATCTAATTCGTTGATATTTGCAGACATTTCACGCATTCCATGTAAATATAAGTAAAGAAATGAATAAATGTGTGCTCTCCATTGTACACGGGAAATACTATCGAAAGCCTGGTCAATTTCTACAACTAGCAGTTGTCTGGCTGTGAGGGCAATAGTTGTATTCATGACTAAATTGGTATGCTGTCTAATAGCGCCACCATTGCGGAGGGGCAGACTGAAATCTAAGAGCGTTGTCACGTCAAGTCAAGAATTCATTTTTATGCCCCCATGAAGGGTGAATTTTAAGCTGTAACACACCCGCGATCGAAACGTTAAAGCAAACAACACTGTAACCTTATAATGTACTCCCGGTAGTATGATTCGCTTTAGCAGCGAAAGCAGTCTAATAAAAGCGTACGGCTTTGTTGGAAGCCAGTCATGAGGAGATAACAGCTTTTGTGTCGATAGCAACACAGCGCCCATCGGCCGGTCCTCACATACGGCTAAGCTGTTTTTTCAGTTGTTAGCACAGTGACCCACTAACCACTTCGCAGGGAGCCGTTTTGCTGGTTTTTCACCCTGTAGACATCCACTGAAGCTATTGCGATCATATTGCAGCAGGTAGAAAGTGTGTTCGAGCATTACTAATCATGTGGTCACACCACAGTCAGCTGACCCCTTACTGGACGATCTGTAGTGGCAAATTTCAAACCGGCTGTCGATTGTTGCCGAACTAGAATTATATGCCTATTAAAAACAACGTTTGGTTCATGATCGTATATGCCTGATGAGATTAATAGAGAAGGAGTTTTCTCGCGAACTATACGTGGTTTGATCAAAAGTGTTTGTCTCAAGTATGAGATAGAACAGGTTACGAATCAGGAAAGAACGGAAGAAATGCTCGATGATAAGGAACATGTCTCGGTCGTATGGAAGGTTCAGTGAACGCGTAAACGTAGAGGGTTCAGAGAGTTAAGCAGGACTGCAGTCCCGCTCAGCGATACGGAACGACACACAGAAGACGATCCGGGAAAGTATGGTTAGCGAGAAGAAGTACAGTGCTTAGCCGCTTTTAACGGCCGGCATATTTATAGGTAGATGTGAACTGGAGAAATCGGTATTCAGTCGGGTGACCGAAAAATCCACCTAACAATGGTCCCCATAGTTGTAGCAAACGGAAGTGAATCACTCGGAGATGTAAAGAACAGGCAAAACAAGGGAATACGAAACTGCCAGAAAGTAGGACAGAAAAGTGCGATCCATATCAATAATTTGCAATGGAACAAAAAGAATGCCGGTAATTTTTTGCACGACTCGCGACATTCAACTAACTACGTGGCACTGCAGTTAGCCTCGACTTATCGTGTGACGTCCATTTCACAGTTGTTCGTCTCAACTTGCTATCTTGTAAAGAGTAAGAAAGGATAATTGGTGTAACCAATCGACGTAACAAATACGACTGTTTGGATCATAAAAGGACTCATGCTGTGATAAAGTGAGGTAACGCACAAAAACCGGTGAAGTATAAAATAACTAGAGATGCATCTCGACAGTGCATAGGCGAGTTTATCTAGGGCGTAAGGACGGAAACATCCGCTTGATCAAACAATTTAAGTAATGCACAGAAATAGATCAGGTATGGCAAGAAAGACCCTTGAAAAAGACTCACACACAACCAAACGGCAGAGAGAAGTGCACTTTCTCTTCAGAAATAATTGTGCAAGGAAAAATATTTGGACCGAACGAAATCAAGGATTCGACACAATCGTGTTCTCGAAACGGCCTCCCCTACCAAAGCACGAGTGATGGGAAGGTGGCAGTGACAACTGTTGTGGCTCATGAAGGTGCCTCCGTGCGGTTGGAAACATTGCAATTTGTAGAAGCGAGAAAGAGTTAAATTCCCGTGCACCGTCGCACTAAAAGTCACATGCTGTCGCCTATAGTGACCCGACTAGTGGTGGTCATGCAACGAGGACAGTCCACGCAGACAAAGACACGTAGGACAAACGCATGGCCTCAAATGCGGAGACAGACAAGCGGGCGCGAGGATGATCAGTCACGCGTAATGCGTAACATGGTATACAATGGGGCCGTCGAGCACAATCGAAGAGAATGCTCGAGTCTGCTTTTAACCTTTCTCGTGACACATCTGTTTTGCGCTGTTTAGGTACAGAAGCGGACAGATAGAGTAGGCTGACATCGTTTTGCCCATGACACAGAAGTGGGTTGTAATCTAGATCAGTGCCACGAAGTAGAGCAACATAAGAACAGCCATGATGTGCGATACGTACTTGTGATCTTTAATTTCGCATTTTATAATGTGTATCCGGAAGCCGTTGTGTCCCTGTAAGCACACTAGGCGTTAAGCCAAAATACAACAAAGCCCACCAACTGTTAAGAACCATATATTTTAATGGTTTGGTCAAGGAAACAAACAAGCATATTGATCGCCAGTATACAAAAGACATGTAGCCAATGCACGCGCGTATTCTTAAGGCTGAGCGTATACATCAGAAGTATGCTCACAATCTGCAAAACCACCAATGCTATCAACAGAGCAAGGCAACAAAATACGTAGCAGCAAGTTTAACGAAAATTCAGGTACGCGAAACCATAAAAAGTAGTGGTCAATTCTACGCGCTGGTAATAATGTGGCCAGCACGGTTGAGCCATATCTTCTCCAATCGAGTGGGGCCACGCCAGACTGGACAGAGATGATCAGTCGGACCGTTTGTGGAGAATGGAAGACGTCACTGGTGGAGTAGACACACAAGTCAACCGATGTGAACATGTTCGAAGACGGGTATAGCCTGACAACGCTTCGAGTTGCAAGCCTCTTCCAAAGCATTACAAAGATCAGTGGAAAGTTATGCTAAAGAATGCGTACGTGTAAGAGAAATTTAATTCCTTGAACTGCGGCCGAGCACCAGAAAACTTGATTTCACGAGAAAAACTCAGAGTCATCACATTCCGGATTCAATCGCGATCGGACCGTATCCCGCCCGATCAAATACATTGCAGGACCGAGTTTCGCAAGCACATAAAAAGCCACGTCTGTAGCGTTGTGCAGTGTTTCGGGTAGTTACGACAAAACGAGTAGGTACAGAGTCGGCTTCAAAATAGGCAGGTTGCATTGGTCACAGTATGGAAGCGCAAATCCATAATAGACCATGGCATCTAAATCACATTGTGCGTATGAATAATGGGGTGGAAGAACACAGGTTTGCATAGACGCCAACAGGTGCTTGTAGATTAGACAGTGTAAATAAAAAATATCTAAAAATGGTAAACAGTGATGGCAAACCAAAAAGGTTAAGAGTAGAGTACCTAGTCATTTGTGATACTGTCCCTGTTTTCAAAGCCATGCATACTAATACGCAGTGAAATTTGGTTACACGATGCGCTCAACGCACGAGACAAACACAGGAGAAGACGCACGCACGAACCACAATGTATGGGAGGGAATCTACAAATCACTAGGAACAGAAAATCCAATAGACATGATTGCCAGAACAACTCACTTTTGAACACTTCTTGGGCACATACTAAGGTTAACTCAATATTATCCAATCCAACTTGGTCTAGAAATTTCCCTGATCGAATCAGATGGCCTGTGATTGTGTGAAACGTAGGGAAATGCTTTAGAATAACTTCCCGCTCCGATTCGCTAGGAAATAAGAAGAAAAGAAAATTCGATATAGTTGAGGAGAGTTGAGTGGAAGCATAATTAACGCAAGCATATTCATAAGACAATTAAGTTGAAACATGGTAGATGGTTAACAGATGAAGGAATTACCCTAAATTATATATATATATATATATATATATATATATATATATATGTCTAAACTACAGAAAGGGACTCGCACATTCTCATGTGTGTCGCGGTGTTGATTCGTGCCGTGCTATATAGCCACCTATTGACGACAAAGCAGCTATAAAGAAATGCCCGAGGCGGACGGCCAGCTCCCAACGCAGAAAAGCGACACTTGTAGTGAGACCCCCAAGTTCAGTGAGTTGTACCATGGGTCTTCGTATCAGGCACAACGATTAATTAAGCACTCGAAGCCAGTACTCATAATCAACAGAGAATAAGAGAAGACAAATGGTGTCCAGAAACTGACGGAAATGAAAACGCACCTTATGGTACGATAAAAGACAATGATAGAAATAGGTGAGGGCGTGCAATCATAGCTAACATGCTACTTCCGAAATGCACTGTTCGGCTCATAGAAAAGTTCCGCTGCATAAAAAAACGAGTGCTGGTGTGGAGAAGCTATGGCACTTAGAGATGGTGATTTTCAGTCATCAAGTCTGAATCAGAAGCATTCCAAGAGAGAGAGCACATTCGACTGTAGAGACTGCAGTTCCCCCAACGGACAATGATGGAAGTTGAGAAAATGTTGCCTAAGTCAATGTGCAAAACAACAGTCCCGATGAGTTGCGAGGCACAGAGTGATAATTTTACGCGGAAGCTATCCAAAACATTCGCTGCAGAGTATCATCCAATGGAAATAAAAGCGCCGAGGATTGTACATCTTTGAGAGTTTCACCTACACGGATTAATCTCTCAAAATATTGTCCCCTCCCCCAGACAACGGCAACGGTAACCTACATTGATTGAATGATTAGCGTATGAAGGTGCATCGACATAAGGGTTAGGTCGTCTTGTTTGGGACCTACATGTCGCATACGTGAGACGGTAGAAAAAAAGGCCACGATACAACTCCACGGTGGCTTCAACCGATATCCATGATCAATGCAGATGTGCAGACAACAATGAGCGATGCAGCTACTAACCGACTCAACCGCGGGACAGAAGGCGACGCGGTTGACTCAGGCAGAGAGATCACGTAGGATAGGCCCTGCCATTACGCTTGGCGCGAAAACAAGTGTCGTCTGAAGATGTGTTAGTGTGTTTACACGCATCGCAGCACAACTGAAACATTTGCCTGTTATATGAATACGGTAGTTGTCCGTCCACATCGTTCCCTTTGTGAAAGTTGGATGGACACGTATAGGGGGTAACGGCTACCGATATGCCAAATTTGCATATCCAAATTATCGATCGATCCATAGATCGGGAGCAAAAACGAAACAAATGGAAGGATGAAAATGTCAGGAAGGCCGATCTACATGTGTGGATGGAAGCACACTTTAAAGTATGGTGGGCATGTAGTCTGAATCGCATACTTAAGGGACATAGTGCGGACGATGAGTGGACATCATGGTAAGAAACGCAAGGGACATTTCAAAGAACAACCCCATGCACCGAATCATTCTTAACAATAATATACACCTGAGAATAGATACAGAGGCGCGGTGAATTATCTAAATATGACCAAGCTGTGAAAATAAGCGGAAGGGTAAATGTAGTATCCCCTATTTGTTAGAAGGATCGTGACAAGTATGGGTATAAAATGACAAACTCACGTAAAGTCAAAATAGTTATACTGTGAGCCATCGCTATTCACGTAATCCCGACTGAGCTCCAACAGCATCAGTGGATACATGGCACCTCGAACGAGCTGGCGCTTGTCACCAAGTTCCAACTGGTTGAAACCTGGAATTGAGATGACCAAGAGGAGAGTGACAAAAGGCAGCAACTTAATCGTCGAGTGAATATGACAAGCCAGCACAGTGGTAGCGAGAAGCGGAGTCTTGAAACAATTAGACCCGTTTAGTGATTTGTATAAGGTCGTAAGAAGACAAACACTGGCAGATGTCAACATTTCGCATTGTCTCTTCTTTGCCAACACGATAAAAAGAGAATATATAAGACTACAGGTAGGGTGAGACCGGAACAAGATAGAAGAGGGTGGAGGGCAGGCGTTACACCTCCACGCGCAGGGCAGCAGTAGGCCTACGAACAGCTGTTGATGCACACTGTTGCTCGCGATTGCCTTTGCGAAACGTAGGAAACGGGCGTTAGCATGTCTTAACATGATTGTAAACATTGTGACCGGATCAGACGGACGACAGGTGGCCAGTAAATGCCTACCTGTTGATGAACCAGGTGGCCTACGTGAACAAATGGTATAAGCAACCGACGAGTGGGTGATTTGACACTGCGTATACCACAACTACAGGTAAATGCAATGTGAATTGGCGCCAGCAGGTTCTTCCGGTTGTTGGGGTAACAGGTATTCGATTAGTCCGGTTGACAAAAACAGTTTCAGTCCTTTGGACTGCGGAAATTATGCGCTTCGTTGTCCTCATATTGGAAAAATCACCCTCAAATGGGAGCTCGATGTAGACCCTCTTTTGAGCAACTGTCGAAACCCTCTGTTCAGGGACCCTCGCTTGACAATGTTTGTCGATGAACCTTCTTGGATAGCCATATTTCAACAATGTATCCTTGAGCGAGTTTCTCATCTTCCAAACCAAGGGTCACCAAAGTAAGACCCGCAGACTACACCCGAATTTTCTTGATAAATTGTAAGGAACATAAAACACTGTGAGAAAACTTACGCTTGACACTGCTTGGCACATTGCCAGTAACCTTGCACTGGTTGAACAGTCACCTCAGGGTTGTTACCCTTGAGACCGTACAATTAGCGACCCAACGTCATTGGAACATTTATATGGGTGATCCCACATAAAAGCCATTCATCCGGGCCCTCTGTTTCCCTGCTTACCTCATACCTTTCCGCCACAATGTTGGTATTGGTCCTCTCATATGAAGTACGCAACATATGAAATGCCCCTAGTTTATGCATGTGTCAATTTGGAGCCATAATGGGAACGAATTGAAGGTTGATAGTGATGAATTGGCTTGGAATCGCAAAGTGTTGAGGTTCATACATTTTGGGCTTGTTAAAGGCATGGCCTACCAATGTCCCACACTCCCTGTTTTCCCGATGTTTCAACCGATTTTTTGTCAGATTTGTAACTTTTTTTACTCAGATCTCTTTACTAAACATACTGAGAAAAGAAAAGCGGACACAGTATCGCGTTTTCGTTCTGGTTCCCAAGTGATACGCAGAAAGACTATGGGGCCAACACTAAATGGGCTCAGTCCCCAGTAGGGGACATTGGGAATGCGCACCACTGACGAGCGGCAATAGGTCGAAACGCGTCTGGTCCTTTTACGGACAAGGCTGTACTATGTAGCTTGTGAGCTGTCGGGACGAATACATTAAAATTTGCACAGTAATCTGGCGCGCGCCAGTCAATTTCGCTGTTATCCGATCCGCCGTGAAAAAAGTTTGGTGACCCCTGCTCTGAACTATCGGTAGTGCATATTTTTCCTGCACGATTAGATACCGTCTTGACTAAGGTGCGATTGCATTGCGGTGTAGATTGAACTAATAAACCAAAGATAAAGCCTGACAACAGGACGATAGCTATTTCCACTACCTACAGGAACGACAACATAGTCAAAAATTAGAAGCGAAAATATTCGAAAAGAACGTCTGTTACCAGGGAATTGTGATCTGCTTTCAGGAATCGATCAGTCCGCCTCCCTCTTTGCCTCCCCTCTGTAGCGTGACTATTCCCTAAAAATGTCTCAAATTGTCTTCTAACAGGGGGACAAAAACAAGAATGCTAGCTGGTGAAATGAAAAAGGTCCTGCATCTGCTTCAACAAAGAACGCAAATACAGCCGCACATGTTTCTCCCCACATTCTTCACAGTGGTCTACATAGAACATGAATCCCAGCCAGCGTGCTTGTAGAGATACGGGACAATCTCTCATGAGCCATGACGAGCTTGGTCGGTTTTCGAGTAAACTTGAAATATCACCGGAAGACGTTTGTTAACGCAAGATAAGTTCTGAGAGTCGGTAGAGACGAATACGAGATGCCAGCTCACCCCTCAGAAATTGACGACGACGCATTTGTCTTACCATCACATGTGAGAGATGACCTACAGTACTAAGTGCCGTTCCATACATCGCGATCAATGCCCCAGCATATAAAGCTCCGGAAGTGCACGTGTACGCGTGTCTACTTCTCCTGACAAACAGACGAAGGGTGTGCACACAAGCTACTTAGAACACACATCGGAACTGACACAGTTAGAAGACGGAGGCAGCCGGGTGTCCCAGTAGGAGGCCTGGTGGAAAGCAATTTAGGACAGGACAGTGACCCAGTCAAGAGGCACAGATGTGAACAACTTAGCTCGAAACCACCAGATTTCAACGCCTGGCAGACCACATGTGTACGTGTGTGTGCGCACAGCTTGGGAGTAGCGCGCACCGCACCGCACGGCACGCAAGCAAACGCTGACTAACAAAATCGGGGTGAGTCTAACAATACAGGTGTCGTGAATGCGTGAGCGACCGATTTGTATTAGATAAAAACAAGAAGAAAGTAGCAAGTAACGTATATAAGAAATTTGCAGTCATACGTAAGAGCACAATGAGGGAATGGGTATATGAGTGAATTCAGTTAAGAGGGGGGTAGTGTAAATTTGCTGTGCCGTTAGAGGATTACAGAGCTGAAGTTATCCGTAAGCTACGCTTCAGCATTGATGTTGTGGTTTCTGTGAGAAGAAGAGAAGACAGTGTGCTTTGGATGGTGTGTGAAATGTCGCTGAAGAGCAATTGCCGTTTCTTGTGCGATGTGTATAGGTCCGAACGCTGTGAGTGCACAAAGAGTTCCGGGATCCACTCCGCAAATTGTATTGACGTGAGTGCCAAATAGTTTGGAGATTGAGCATGAGCCTCGGTTAGCAGGCCGAGCCAAGAAGTAGTAGGACTAGGACTAGTTTGTTGACAAAACCTCGTGCAAAGGAGTAAGCGCCTAGGTTTTTAGGAGTGTGTTTGCAGGTGGAGGCGCTTGGTGTGAGCCGAGGACTTGTGTAGTCAGGCGACAATCGTTTTCGGTGAATCGTAGCTAGTAAATCTTGAGCCATTTCATGCGGGGCGCACGGACCGTTAGCATTGTGATCAGGAACCTGTTGATCTAGTTGATATTAACTGGATCCTACTGAATTCGGATTCGTTGCGTCTCTGCTGGTCGAATGCAGTCAAATGTTGGTTGCCTTCAGATGTAACAAAGTTACTATGTGCCATATGCTTGAAATAAAGGCATAAAGTTCATTAACCTTAGATCACATCTTTGGTAGTTAGATGACAAGGGAAACCTTGGTGCTGACAGTACGGACGGGGTTGTCAAAGGAGAAGGTATCGCGGGTGTGGCGTCACTCCTAATAATCATGGACTTAGCGGTGTTCTGTCGGAATTTTAAAATATTGGGACACTGATTTATCGTCTTTTTGCCTAAGTCGCCTGCTTGTATCGGACGACGGTGTTCACTTCCTAAAACACCCAGAAAAACACGAATGTTGCATGATGCACCTCGTTAACCAAAGAGGCCGTGATTCACTGTGTTGAAATTAGTTTTAATGACGGGCAATGTATAGCACATTAAGCAGCTCAACTTGGAAACGATGCCTTGGCAACGTCGAAACTAATCACCATTCCATCCGACTCCATGGAAAAACCAGAAACTGTTCACGCGAACTGATACGAGCTCTTTACGAAGGTAAATGTTATAACATATGCCCGAAATGAACCCTTCCACCGAAGGCTTATGGCTTACGGAAGAGATATGAGCCTGATGTACCCACTGGACCTACTGTAAATGGTATAGATAGACCGACGCACGAACTAGCTGGATATATGGCTAGCCTATTGCAACTGTTGACAGGGCAAACGATTAAGTCCATAAAGTTCTCTTGTGAGTTCGCATAAAGCTGTCGGGCCTTAGAGTTGGATGACATGATGGTTAGTTTGACATTAGTTCACCCTTTATCGACGCGCTAAAAATGCGAGGCGTTGGTGATAGGGGAACACTTCTGACTGTGGACGATAATCAGGGAGAGAGAACGAAGCTTATGGTAGATCAAATAATGAAAGGGTGTGTGAAAAGTGTGTATTAACATGTCTTAGTTCATGTTCCAATCGAGGCGGTTAGTAAAACGCCAACTGCAGAGTATTTTATATCCGCGTCCACAGCTTAAATTGGAGTGGATTGAGACAGTCGGAATTGCTAGTGAAGAGGGAGCTTCGGAGGCTATTCGGGGGGTACTAAACAAAGAAAAGGGCAATTTTCCAGAAGGACCAAACATTCCGTTCGATAATGGTGCACTTGAAAGACTCATTTCCCGCAGACAGGACAATTAGGTGCATCTGCAAAATTGGCCGCAAAAACCGCCCACGTATGCATAGGTCAAATCGCGAGAGCGGCGCACGAGTATGGCAGAAGACAGGAGGTGCGTACCACAGCCACCGAGAACCGAGCTTGAAAACAGGGCTCTACTATGAGATTCGGCAATAAGGATGCACGCAAAGGATACAGGTTACGAAATTTACTTCGATAGTGTCGAGATGGTTAGGAGGGGTTGCGATGAACATCTCAAAGACTGACTGCCGGGACAGTTGTGATCACGAAGGGTAACAGCTGCGTGAACAGAATAGATAGGGTGGAATTTTCGAACGTGTCTGAGGTGCGTTTCCGGGCAGATCCGAAGAACAGAGTGAACATCAAATGACTTTCACACACATCACCGAGAGGGGCCTATGAGTGATGACCAGGTAATGTGCACCATTACATGT